TGACAGACTATGTCAGAATGCTGTTGTTAATTGCCCTCGGGTCGGACCCAACTCATAGCGACCCCTCCTTGGGTTTCCGAGGCAGTATCACTACGGAAGTAGATTGCCCCATCTTCCTTCCGAGGAACAGTTCACATAATACGTTGACTAATACTGATTGCAATTCATAATTCACATCAGTGATTTGTCCTAACTAGTAATACAAGTACTTTATTGCTGACCTTACAACAGGCAAATAAGAACTATTTTCAAAGCTGCATTACTTAAAACTATAAACTGTCCATTTTCACAAAAATCTAACAAAACTACTAAAGAACATCCATATAATCTTAAATTAAAATAACTACAAAAAATTACCTGTAGGATCTCCCAACTTACAACACAAAGGGGAGGGGGGAGGCGTATTACTTTTTCTACTCTGTTATATCACCTCTCTGAACTAAAGAAAGGCTATTACTTAGCTATATTTGAGGAAAAATGAAAGACGTAAAAACAAATGAAGCTTTATTATATTTAAAAAGAATAAAACTTGTAACTAATGTGCTTTTAAAAATGCCAAATTTTCTTGTAATATACTACTAAAAGGGTTTTAAATTCAATATTGGTACTAATTCTCAAATCTCCTCTCAACTGTTATAAAGGAAGACAACACAAAATGAAACTACAGGTAATTACTTCTTGGTCCTAAAAATTAGAGGGGTACTAACAGCAGCTACAACACAGTGGGATGTCCCCAAACAAACAAAATCAGTCTAAATATACTTTAATGAATCTGTTGCACTTTACCTGTAATTTCTCTATAAAAAATACATTGAGAATGGAAAAACAAATTCACAGTTAATTCCCTGCTCTCTATGATTTGTAAAACTATTATTAAGCTCTTCTGTATGTGAAGTCCCAGTAGTTCTAGGCAAAATTCCCTTCCTTCAGCACAAAGATGTTTACTATGAAGATCAAAGTTGCTTACCAAAATCTGCCAAATATCATCACAGTAGTTAGAAAACCAAAAAGAAAACAAAAGGGGGGAAAAAATTTAACTGTCCCATCTATCTCTTAAGTATGTCACAAATTACCCTAAAACTCAAGTTTCTCTAATGTCAGTCCCTTTCTTGGTCCCACCTACTAATAACCACACCATTCACTGTCCATAATACACAGGTTACTCTGCAGAGCTCATCTACAGTGATGAAACAGAAATCATAACCAGGGATTTTTTTTTTTTTTAATTTCCCCCTGGGTAGTCAGCATGCTCAGCTGCTCATCAAAAGTTTGGAGGTTCAAGTCCCTCCAGAGGCACCTTGAAAGGAAGGCCTGGCTCTCCACTTACAAAAGCAGACAATAAAAACCCTATGGAGAACAGTTCTACTTTGACACTCATGGAATCCCATGAGTCAAAATCAACTCCACAGCAACTGGTATGTAAACTAATAACTGAAGCTGTTCCCAAAACCTCAGGTAGAAGTCTTAAGAGCCTAAACACACTCTATGGACAGTCACTTTCATAATCTGTCTCCTAAATTCTGAAGGCTGAGCCAAGAACAACAAATCCAGAGGCGAGGACAACACTTTTATTCAAACATTTCCCCTCCAATTCCCATCAAGTTTTTGTGCCTATGAAGACAAAATTTTGGGCAGTACAGACGGAAAGGAATGGCTTTTCAAAGATAAGGAAAAAAGGTTCACCTGACAGCAACTAATTCTTCATATCTGAAACAAAAGCTCAGGAGTAAATCACATATGGTGCCCAGGAAAGAAAAGCAGGGACTTCCTGGGGGCAGCATTTTTGGTCCAAATCCACATGGTTTCAGAAGTTTCACAACTACAGCCTCCTTTTTTATAACAGTTCTGTGGTCCTTCCTGTGATTTTGACGCCCTCCCCCAAAAAAAGTTAAAGCTTATCAACAAAAAGATGTGAAATGACAAGTATTTTGTGTACTGCAAGAAAGCTTACAAACTAGAATAATTGGAATAACCTTTTCTTCTGTCAATATTTTAAAAATATAGAAAGTTTTATGTTTTCCATCCTAAAAGGAACCAACTTCCCTTGAAATCTCATGAAACTCAGAACGCAAACTAGACATTAAACAGAGGTCTGGCATAACTTTTACTCTTGTGAACAATGATGAAGGCACACTTGAAATACACCTTCAAAATACAATCTGATTTCACTAGTGGGAGTGTATGTAAAGCAGGCTTATACAAATATAATATATTCTGTAAGTTCCCTAACTAATCTACTTTGCAATAAAAACAAAATGCTCCCAAAATATATTTTTAGACTGTTTAAACACTGACTTTGTAAAACATGATCTAAAGTTAATGCTTAATACTTCTGGATAAACTACAATTTCCCTTAACTTATAGTGACTACATATCTAAATGTTATATGAAAAATCCAACAGTTGTGACAACATGCGTATGTATAACCCACTGTCACTGAGTCGATTCCGACTCATGGTGACCCCTACTGGGTTTCCAAGGCTATAAATCTTTAAAGATGATGATGATTGCCTCATCTTCCTCCTGTAGAGCAGCTGGTAGGTTTAAACCATCGACCTTCTGGTTAACAGCCAAATACCTTACCCACTACACCACCAGAGCTCTTTGTACACATGTATACACACATTATTTTTTTCTTTATGGACTATTACATTGACTCCTTCTGACTATACACCCATAAACACTGTGGTTATGCAGTCAAGGTTGCTACTCTAGAAGAATGGAAAAAGGTAGCCTATAAGTCTCCAACACCAACAGATGAGTAAGTCAGTGAAATATCCTACCACAGAGGCATTTATCCTTAATAAAGGATCAAGGAACTATGACTCAAAAATTTGTATGTTAAAAAAAGTAATAGCTCTTTTCAGTGGAAACTATTTACAAATAATGTTATGAATACTTACGAAAGGTAACCAAACTTTCTTACACTTTAAAAATCAGCAATATTTACTAAATAACACTAGACACAAGCTTCATTAAAGGATTTTAGTATAACTTACAGGGCAACAAAGGATAGAAAGAGTCCATTTCAGCAAATAACCGTATGTCTACTAAAAGAAAACAAAACAATGAGTACTACATGCTAACCTGTCACACAGTATTACACTCTTCAGCTAAAGGAATAATGACATTCCCTGCACTCCTCCCCTTCAACAATAAATGCTACAGAAAGCAGGGCTCTTGGTCTTTCAAGCTATACTGCTTTGTGCCAAGACCCTAGAACAGTACCTGACACACAGTACACAAGGAATATCTGCTGAATGAATGACACTAGGGAGGAACAGGTAAGAGCAATAGAGATAAAAAAGTTGCTTATACACACAGATAAAAGATCCAACAAAGTGACAACTGGGTAATCAGGATAATAGAAGTGAGCTGACAAAATGTGAGCTATTTCAAATTTTAGACATAAATATGAATCATAAGGGTTCAGATTTCAAGAATGAGCAAGGAAGAGAGCAAGTATTTCTTAGAAGTTCTGCTATATAAAAAAAACTAATTCACACATTAATTCACCTGCTATATAAAACTAAATTCTGCTTAAAATGGTCAGAACTGATTTAGTAGGAAAATGTTACACATTCATATATCTAGCTCTGTGCCCCATTAAAAGGGAAAATATGCAAGTGAACCTCATTAGTGCTCCTTGGGAAACATTTCTCAGTTTCTGATGGAGTGTCTCATATTTACTTAGGAAGAAAACTTCAAAACCCATTTAATTCATATTAAAACGCTTACTTCTCGTGAGTAGATCCTACATACATAAAGGCGACGCTTCTACACAGTGACACAGTATTTATGGTCCTTCGATTTTGGATTTTTCCATCAGGTGTGTTCTTTTAAACTTTGCGAATTCAGAGCAGTCCTCAAGTTGTCTGGGACGAAATTACGCACTCATTGAGGACAATTACATTAATAAGTCTTTCTTAACTGCAAACAGTACGATTAAAAAAAAAACAACTAGTAGTACCAATGCCCTCCATCTCTTCCCCCCAATGACATGTTCATGATTCTAAGGAAAACTTAGATTCTTGTCTCGTTTTACTTTTTAAAATCAGTTCCAGTTCAATTGTTAGTCAGTCTATCCTGACGTATGACTGTTACTGTAGCGACACGAGCAGGTATGTCCAGTTTCTCGGTTACAGCAGTACAATTTAAGTGCTTGCCATTGGCTATGTGAATCAGATATGATATCAAAAGTTATATTCTATATACTAAACACCTCAAGCGTATGACTCAACACCTAAAAAGAAAGTTTCGGAAAAGAGCAGGTTTGCTGTCATTAAAAAGGGAGAGTAAAGCAACTCAGGGTGGTGACCATTCATTTCTTGGGCTTCCAAGGCTAAGAAACTGAGGGCCGTTGTCCGATCCGTTCTCTCTTGTTATGTCCGTGGCGAGGCGATTCCTACATCAGAGTTTGTAAATTGCTCTGGAAGCTTGTAGGATGGAAGATGCTATAAATACAGCCCGTGGTGTTAGGACACGACCATTGTGCATTACGTGGAGCCACTGTCACTGCGTCGGGGCTAAAACGATGGCCTGACCCTTCCTAAGGAGGCGGGAGAGGGAGGACGGGCCCCTTCCTCAGTCTAGAAGCTGGGCGCTTTTCACACCGCAGGGACACCCCAAGTGAAAAGTTACACATATGTCCCGCACGAGGACTTCGCCAGTGCTCGTCCCTGCAGGGCTGCGGGTCCTCGGGACCGAGCAGGGAGATAAGTGCCGGGGACTGGGCCTACATCTCAGGAAGGTGGGAAGGTGCGGGGACCCAGCCAGGGGCTCCGGCCGCAGCCCATGCCCGCGGGTCGGCGGGAGTCGCAGCGGCGGGGCGGGAGGTGGCCCCGCGTCGCCCCGTTGCCGGGCAGGCTAGGGCCCCGCGGCCGAAGGCGTGGGGGCGGGGAGGCTGGGCCTGCGGCCTGTTGGGGGAGTTCAGCCCGGGCCTCGCGTGCGGCTCTCGGCCGGACCCAGCCCCGGGGTCCCGGGCTCGACGAGAGACTCACCGGAAAGGCCCGGATCCGCATTTTGGTGTCCTTCCGGCTGCCCGTGCCTTTGCTCAAATTCGACATGGTGCTCGTCCCCTCCCCGTCAGCGGCTTCAGGTCGCACTCCGAGGCGCTGGTGTCACATTTAAGGCGGGCGGGCGGGCAAGGGGCGACTCTGGGGGCGGCGCGGCTCCCGGCTGGGCTAGGGGATCTGGCCGGCCCCTGAGCGGCCGCGGCAGCGGGCGCGGGGGCGCGGGGGTGGCGGCGGCAGCGGCGGCTTGGGCTGGTCGGGGCTCAACTAGGGGGCTGCGCTGGCGTGGCGGCTACGCGGGGTCCCCCTCACGCCCGGCTCCGCACCCTTTATCGCGCTGCTCCGCGATGGCGGCGGCGACGGACAAACATCTCAGTGCGCAGGCCGAACGTCCTCCTCCTCCTTCTCCTCCTCCGCCTCAGCGAGACGAGATCCGGCCCAGAGGGTGGAGGGGGGAGGGAGGAGGGAGAAGAGCCAGAGAGTAGAGAAATTGCGAGGAGGGGGGTGGGAGGACGGAAGGGGGACAAGGGCGGCCTCGGCGGGGACGTCACATCTCGCGAGAGGGAACGAGCGCGGGGCCACAGGTGGGGCGGGGCAAAGCCCGAGAGCGGAAGGGGACAGTGAGAGAGGAGGGAAACAAGACAGGTGGGTGGATGTGGGCGGGGCCAGCCGGGCGGGGAGGAGAAGGGGTGGGGCTGAGGGCGGGAAGATAGAGCTGCGTTCTCCAAAGGGGAGCATCTGAGACTTGGTTCTGTGCTCTGGAGGTTGCTGATTGGTGGAGCGATGAGGCCCCTGGGCGGGGGTGGAGGGCGCAGAGTAGATCTTGTCACGTGAGCGGAGTGGGCGGGAGAAGTTCGGAGAACCGCCGCCGGGTTGTCTTGGGTTGGAAGGGGCTGGGTTGAGCTGCGGTGGCGGGAGGCCAGTATCGGGGAGGAGCCTGAGGTGCCAAGTGGATAGCTACGTCCTAGAACTGGTTCCTACGTTTTTCTAGGGCATGTGGACTAGGGATGGGTACTTAGGTAGATGCTAGAAAGTTGAAAGAAAAGCTTGTCAGGAGTTACCTGCAATGTCGGAAATCAGGGTTCTGTATGATTAACAAGGTTTTCCGAGGGATGTGTCCACCTCAGCTCTCAGGTCTAAGAGGTGGAGATGTTAATCCACAAAGTTAGTTTAAACTGGAAAAACTGCAGGACCTCTTAATTCACCGAATTTTTTCAGGGGACCCAGGGTTTATTAGTCTTAAAACCTGTTTTTCCTTCACCGCTAAAATGAAATGACAACCTCTTTAATGTGGTGCAGTATTTGGTAAACCCACTGCCATTTAGTCCATTTGGACTCATAGCAACCCTATATGACAGAGTAGAACTGCCCCATAGAGTTTCCAAGGCTGTAAATCTTTATAGAAGCGAACTGCTGAGACTTAATCCCGCAAAGTGGCTGGTGGGTTCCACCCTCCTACCGTTGGATTGGCAGCCAAATGCTTTAACCACTGCGACACCAGAGCGTCTTAATATTTGGTAAAGCGTATGGAATAGAAGGAAGACAGAATGATAGGAAAGCATCTTGAATTTAGCAAATCATTTAAAACCAGAATTGTTTTAATTCAGTTTGTTGCACATTGGAAAGTGTTTTTGTTGTTGTTGTTGTTGTTGTTTACTATTGTCAAAACATTTCATTTGACCCATCAGTTTTGCTTTTCATTTACTATGAATTTTACATCCTGATTTTACATACTTGCTGTTATATTTGGGTTTGAGACTCTTCAGTGGAATACATGAGTTCCCACTAACGACTTTTATCTTCGAATTTTGTATAAGAAACTATTGTTGGGAAGGGTATCAATATTTGAGAACTGAGATTTTAAATCATTTTTATGCTAAACTTATTAAATAAATTCAAATTATTTTTTGTTTACTGTTATTGTTGTTAAATTGCCCTAATTAGTGCTGGTGACTAAACTTCTAGGGGCTGTGCTTTCAGCCCCTGGTTCCCATGCCACAATAGAAATATATTTTCTTGTTTTTGTTGTTTTGGGTTTTTTTAGGGGGAGTCTTGCTAATCAAAACAAATGCTAAGAAATATCTGTGTAAATACGGAAGCTAAAAATAGGTCATCAAGAACTGGGATGAAAAAGGAAAATGGGAAAAGGCTGAATTAACATGATAATATGGGTCTTCCAAAAACCATAGTTATTGCCAACGAGTTGGATCCAACCCATAGTAACCCCATCTGCCTCCTGAGGAGTGGCTGGTGGGTTTGAACTACCAGCCTTCTGGTTAGCAGTTGCTTAACTTAGGCACTATGTCCCTAGAGCTCCTATATGAGTCTTAGGTGGGAGTTTATAATCAGTATTCTAATTGAAACTCCATTTCCATAAGCATTAGAATGTAATAACAACCAATGTTTGTCTATTAGTTGTATATATCGTCCTGGCCCAATTTCTTTGTAATATAAGAATATTATGTTCTGGAATCTTGGGTTTGGACCCCAGTTTTGCCACTTTACTAGCTGAGTTATGTAGGTTTGGGGGCAAGGACTTGACAAGTTTGTGCCTAGGGACCCTCATTTGTAAAATGGGCACGGTAATAGGACATCCTAGTTTGTCTGCTATGACATTCAATTGAGTTAATACACTTTGAAAAGACCACAGAGGAAAGATCGACACACAGTGCCCTAGAGTACTTGTTGACTATTACAGGCATCAAGGCCAGGGCTATACTCATGAATAATGGTTTATCTTTCTTTATTCAATATGTAAGTTTTTTTTAATATGGTAAAGTGAATTAAGGGAGCTCTGGTAGCATAGTGGCTAAGACAATTGCCTGCTAACCAGACGGCTGGCAGTTCAAACCCACCAGCCACTCCTCGGAAGGAAGGTTGGGCAATCCTACTTCCGTAGTGATACTGCCTCGGAAACCCAAGGAGGGGTCGCTATGAGTCGGGGCCGACTCGACAGCACATAACAACAACAACAAAGTGAATTAAATTTTAAAACAAGATTTCACCAACCAATAAAATATTTTTCAGAAACTGGGTAACCAATAAAAGGTTGGCAACTTTATTTTGGCAAGTAAGGGCATTGAAAAGATATAACTGCCAAAGAAGACCCCTATTAGTTTATTAAACAAGAAGGATTTTAACCATGGAAAAGGGGGAAAGTAGATTTAAAAAAAAAAAAAGACAAAAAGGCAGTTCTTTAAACTGAAAATTAACTTTTGTGAAAAAGAATACATTATCCTGATATTTTTCATTTACTAAAAATCTGAGAAAACTGCATTATGGTCCAGTATTTAGGAATTGATTGCATTAAAGCATATTTCCATTTAATTGTAAAGCATGTAATCATCCTATATTTGTTTTGTGAATTTGGATGTACATATGTTGGTTTAAAATCACTATCAACTGTGTCTTTGGCTGGAAACAGAAAAATTCTTCAAAATGAGAGGATGATACTGTCTCTGCCATTAAGAAACCCACAACTTAGTCATTTATTCGAGAAGTATGGCTTTAGACTGCTAACCAGAAGGCTGGCAGTTCAAACTCACCAGCCACTCCTCGGAAGGAAGATTGGGCAATCTACTTCTGTAGAGATACTGCCCCAGAAATCCAAGGAGGGGTCACTATGAGTCGGGATCAACTCAACAGCAGTGAGTTGTTTTTGTTTTTGTTTTTCCTTCACTAATTGGCAGGCAATGTGATACCTGCCACCGCACAGCATAGAGTCCTTATTCACATCGCAAAATTTGGAACCACAGACCCAAGTAAGATTTGGCAAAAACTTCCTATACACTCTAGTCCAAATGTCAGGGGTTTATTTTTTTTTTTCCTAAGAAAGTAGAATCTTCAACATGTATATGAAATATCCCCTGAACTATTCCCTGACGTGCAAATAGGGAATGACATTAGCTTTGCTGCAAACTGTCACCTGATCCAGCAGAGAAAGGCAAGCTGGAATAAGAACTCACTAGATTTTGGGACGTGCCAGTTGGTGTTTCTACTTATGCTGAACTCTGCCTGACTCAGGGAAAAGTGGCCTCATTTCCATTATTTGTATAGAGCACATGTGGTTAGAGAGGTCTGCCGGGACCAGCCCTTTCTACACCCCTGTCTGTAAATGGGTAGAATGAGCTGTGAATAGCCCAGGCAAGGGAGTAGCCTCTACTTAGCCACAAGCATTGAGGTATTCAGGATGCCAAGCCACTTTAATCACTATATTAGACATGTTGATTTGATTGTGCAGATATCATTGTTCTTAGGTGCAATCTAGTTAGTTCCCACTAATAACGACAAAAAAGTGTAGAAAAGAATGAAATACTGCCCAGTCTTATGCCATACTCACAATCTTTCCTACGTTTGAATTCATCATTCTTCTACTGTGTCAATCCATCTTGTTGAAGGTGTTCCTGTTTTGCTGACCCTCTACTTTATCAAGCATGATGTCCTTCACCAGAGACTGGTCCCCCCGATAACATGTTCAAACTACGTAAAATGAAGTCTTGCCATGCTCACTTCTAAGGAGCATTTTGGCTGTTCTTCTTCCAAGACACATTTGTTTGTTCTGCCCAGAACCAAACCCACTGGCATCGAGTTGATTCCAACTCATAGCAACCCTATAAAATCCAAATCCACTGCCATTGAGTCTATTCCTACTCATAGCAACCCCCATTGGGTTCCCGAGGTGACCCTATAGGACATAGTAAAATTGCCCTCACGGGGTTTCCAAAGCAGGCAGCCTCATCTTTCTCCTGCAGAGCAGCTGCTGGGTTTGAACCACCAGCCCTTTGGTTAGCAGCTGAATGCGTTGACCATAGTGCCACCAGATATTTCATATTCTCCACCAATGCCATAATTCAAAGGCATCAGTTCTTCCATCTTACTGATTGTACAGTTTCCACATGCACATGAGGCAAATGAAAATACCATGGCTTACATGAAGCACACCTTAGTCCTCAGACTGACATCTTTGCTTTAAAAAAGGTCCTTTGCAGCAGATTTGCCCAATGCAAACGCATTTAAGTTCTTGACTGCTGCTCCCATGAATGTTGATTGTGGATCCCAGTAAAACAAAATCCTTGACAACTTCATTCTTTTCTCCGTTTATCATGATGTTACTTATTGGTTCAGTTGTGAGGATTTTTGTTTTCTTTGTGATCCATGCAGAAGACTGTAGTCTTTAATGTTCATCAGTAAGCTTCAAGTCCTCTTTGCTTTCAGCAAGCAAGGTTGTGTCATCTGCATGTTGTAGGTTGTTAATGCATCTTCTTCCAATCTTGATTCCACATTCTTCTTCATATAGTCCAGTTTCTTGGATTATTTGCTCAGCATACAGATTTAGTATGTATGGTGAAAGGACGCAACCCTGATGCACACTTTTACTGATTTTA